AAGCCAGTGCTTTAATATAGTCCCATTCAACACAATTATAATTTTTCAAGTTGAAAAGATACCACTGCAACAGCATAAGTGTTCAGCAGCAGTTGTGAAGATTTTACTTAGAAACCTAAAATACCATGATTTCTATTTTCTTTGCATCTATGTTCTTCAAGTCTGCGACTGATCTTTCTAACAGTGAATGTTTTATAACATAGAGCTGAGGTGTGCAAATATCTTTCAGCACTGCTCTAATTTGGTTCTTGCTGAACTCAGTGATAAAAGTGGCTAATAAAAACTGACAAGAACTAATGAAGGATGGAACTAATCAAAACTGCCTTTAGCGAAAATACTGTTAAATCAGTATTTTTCAAAGTCCCACAACTAGAGTTAGGTTGACTTCAGTTCTCTGTTTTTTAATGAGGCATTGAGTAATGCAGAAATAAACTAGATTTCAATGTTAATAGATCGCTGAGCATTACCTGCTCATCCACTCCTCACTGAACAAAACTGCTCCATATTAGCATTCTGCTTTAATGGCAGAAAGTGCAGGCTTTAGGAAAAAGCTAAAATATTACTGTTGCCAGCATCTGTGATTTGTTGGCCATGATCACCGGAAGATTTGTCATCAGTCATAGATGCTAAAAACTGACAGAAGTAACCTAAGTTAATAGGATGATTTATAACTAACTAAAGACATGAAACATTGCTGGTTGGGTTTTTTTTGATACTATTTTAGACAATAAGGCTACCATAGTGTCACATTAGTGACAATACATTTAAAGAATGAGACAATCCTCAGGAAAATAAGAACCATTAAAGCAAAAATCTAACAGACTAAGATTACCTTCATTTTTCCAGGGTGGCTTAAGACTTTTACCCTCTGATGGTTTCAACAGATCTGCAAACTTCTCATTTATGTTTAATTTAGAAATGCGTTTCTCCACCTCTTGAGAGTTGGTCTTTTCTTTTATCTTCTTTATTTCTTCGTTCTGCTTACGCCTCTCCTCAGCTTCTTTTGCAATTTGTTCTTGCTTTCTTTTGTCTTCTTCCAGTTGCCTCTGCCTTTGTTGTTCTGTCTCCCTCAAGATAGTGGCTTGCCTATTTTTCTCCTCTTCTGCACGAAGCTGTTTATTTTCCCTTTCTCTCATCAGAGCAGCTGCTTCTTCAGCTTTCAGCTTTTCTTGAGCTTTTTCCTGCATTCGTTCTTCTTCCAGTCGCTTCTTTTTCTCTTCCTCTTCCCTTCGTATATTTTCCTGCCATCGGTTCTCCTTCTCCCGTTTTGCTTTTCTGAAAGAAAAGAATGAGAGAGGAGTGGGAGAACATTCAGATAAAAATGAATGGGATTGTGTTCACAGAGTAATCAACTGCACTTTTAAGTAAAACTGAGTCTATGATACTGACTACTTTTCTCTCTGGGCAGTAAGCTCTTCCACAGGAGACCATGCTTTGTCTTAACATGAGTGCCAGTATATTTCACGTATAAATAACAAATGGAATAAAATTCTTGGTATAGAAACATTGCTGCATGGTTACTTGTCCAGTGCCTCCATAGGCACTTCTGCTCACCTACATCCTGATGAGTAAGAAGTGATCTGTTAATTGAACAAAGGTGGTTTTAAGCTGCCCACCAAAGTAGTATCCAAGTCTCACAACTGGAAACTAAGATTTCCAAATAGATTAATAACAAGATTTCACTCTGGTACGTACATAAAAATAGCCTTTGCATACTGATCTTTGCTGCTTTAATTTTTTGCCTTCAGCAGTTGTAATCTATTCATACGCTTATCCCTGCCAGACTCTTCAGCAGACAGAATCTGGAAATCTGACTGTATTTTCTGAAATTATTCAGATTTTATCCTATGCCTCATCTCTCCAAAGAAGTTATTATCCAATTCAACACCCTTAAAAATTGTTGTATTTTAGCTGTTGAGACCTTTGTTCTGAAAAGAGCAGACCTAACCCTTTGGGCCACCTTCTGAAGAGGTTGTTGAGGAGGGATTGTGCCTAGAGGAGACTGCTTCATCAAATCACTGTGGGAGGTCCACTCATCTGATGGTCATTTTATTGTGTTTTCAAGCACATGACAGGATCTAGTAGGAGCTGTGCAGTAATACTGTTACTCTGTCAGATAGCTATGTTCAACAGAAAAATTAACAGGACATCATTATGTGCGTGGCATACGGTTCTCTTAAAGGGACTGTCACAAATGTTATGAAAATCCATCACACTGGTGTAGAAAAACGCTGTCATGACTTAAGACCATGAATCACACATACTACAAGGTCGCTACCTCTGCTTCATTAAAAACCAGCCAAAGCAAATATGAATCACTGAAAAAGAAAATCTCTCTCAAATTAAAGACAAACCACATCGATTCTCTGAATGAGAAGTCAAAACTAGTACACCAAAGACTAGTACAAACTAGTACAAAACTAGTACAAACTTGCTGCTAAGCGCAAACTAGGGAGCTGATAGCAGAAGGTCTGGAGAGAGGAAAAACAAAGCGGCATCTTAAGACAGCCAGAATCAAACCCTAGAAACTCTGGTTTCTTAATCAGTGAAACAAAAGAACGCAAAACTAGTTGGGAACAAGACCATGAGAAACCAAGAGCTGAGAACAGTAAAACTTTGAGTGCTTGATACAAGGCTGGGCTGAGCAAAACCAGAACCATAAACGTGAAGGGATGATCCTCTCAGACATATATTTGAATTTTCTCATTGTCATCCTAAAAAAAGGAACCAAATTTAAAACACAAAGATTGCTCACTGTCATGGTTTAACCTGGCTGGCAACTAAGCACCACGCAGCCACTCACTCACCCCACCACCCCCTCAGTCGGATGGGGTAGAGAATAGGGGGGAAAAAAAAGGTAAGAGCCATGGGCTGAGATAGAGACAGTTTAATAAGAGAAAAGAAAAACAATAGTACTAATGAGACTGTTAAGAGGATATACAGAATATACAAAACAACCGAGGCACAATGCAATTGCTCACCACCCGCCGACCGATGCCCAGCCCGTCTCAAGCAGCGATCACTCTCCCTACAACCAACCAACTCTCCCCGAGCATGATGTTCTATGGTATGGAATAGCTCTTGGGCCAGTTGGGGTCAGCTGTCCTGGCCGTGCTCCCTCCCAGCTTGTTATGCACCTGGCCGGGCCGGGGAAGCCGAGAAAGTCCTTGACTAGTCTAAGCACTGCTCAGCAACAACTAAGCCATCAGTGAGTTATCAACATTCTTGTAGCACTAAATCCAAAACACAGCACTATGCTAGCTACTATGAAGAAAATTAACTCTATCCCAACCAAAACCAAGACACTCACTCATCCAGCTTCCAAGATTAACATAGGAATTCAGCAGTCAATGCCATTCCTATTGTCTTAAGTATCAATCTCACAACTGCCTGGATATACACGACAAAAAAATAGTACCTACTCAGTCAGAAGTGCTTTTACGGAAGCAGGTCAGATCTTTTGAAGGCCAGCAAAACAAGGCAGAAAATAGAAGGAATTTTAAATGTGTGAGGATTATCTATAAACAAGCTTAAAATCTCATTAGCAGAAGTGACTACCTGCTTTATCTGAATTATAAATTGTTTCTTTTGAAGGGAAGATAAGAAGGGATTGGACAGAGGAAATTCATCTTATATCAGTGGTAGTCCATATAAAATGTTTTCTAAGGCAACTCACTAGAATGCATTTTTACTGGTTAGACCTCCTGCTTATTGCACTCAGTGTCTTGAAAGTCACCACAGCATCACAGCATTCTTTTGCTTTAAAAACTGCAACACTGATACATTCAGACATGGTACCTTGCAGCCTCATCTTCCAGTCGCTTTTTCTGTGCCAGTTCAGCTCTTCTTTTTTCTACCTCTCTTATTTTGTCGTGTTTGATCCTGTGGAGCTGCTCCAAGGCTAACTGCTGTGTACTGTAGCTTTCTCTCAGGTCCTAAGGAGGAAAGACAACGAAGTACATCAAAAGGAATAAAGCCAATCTTTCGCAAAAAGCATCCAGGCATTTTAATGCTTTGTGAACCAAGTTTTAATATTACTTTGTCCATTTGTATTAAGCTATTAATAGTCCTTGGAGGTCACTGTAAAGAAAGCCAGATAAACAGACATATAAAAGTAGCTAAAGGTTTGCAAAGCCTTTGACATAACTTAGGCTTTCAAAGAGCCCCTTCCAGTCATACACCTGCTGGAAATGGCAAATACGACAGAGCAGAAAGGAAGACGTAAAACTGAGTGTTCAAACACAACAGTATCTAAGGACACGGAAGGCAATGAAGCATGTTTTGAATAACTACAAGACACCTTTGCCGAGGAGGCAGACTTCAACTGAAAGCCAACACAATACCATAAACCTGAGAATGCGTCCCTTCAGTAGGGTGTTCACCTTTGCGACGCTGTCTGGATGATCAGTCCCATGTTTAAGTCAGAAAAACTTTATAAAATTACCCAGCAAGCTTACCACTGTGGGAAGCCGTAGCCTAAAGACACCAACTCAGACTGGAGTTTTCCTATATTTGTAGACAATTTTACTCTTTTTCTTTCAAATACATCCTTCTACTCCTATTCCATCTCCCTCCGATAAACTTTTTTCACAGCAGAGAATCATCATGAATCTTTGGGACAATTAAATTTACAGAAGAAAAAAAATCAACAATAGAATTACTTCAGATTGTACTTCACCATGTTACAAAACACCTGTAAGATATTACATTATTTTTTTCTTAGGAATCCTATTGATACGGACTAAGCAATGCAACAGGTATACCCTGACTTTTCATATCTGATCTCATAAATGCAAATAAAGCAGTTAAGAATGATCTATTCCCACTATAATATGCACCTCTACCGATAATCATGTTGCCTAGGAGATACTGTGCAATTTATAGAAAAAGGGCAAGATAACAAGATTTCTGTGTCAGTGAAAGTCTCTGTAGCAACAAACTAAACCAAACAATTGACTCCTGTTTTTCCCCAGACATATTCAGCTGAGAATACTTTTTCTTCTCATTTTGCATAGAAACTGAAGATAACTATGGAAACAAAACTGCATCATAAAAACTCTTGTATCTTTGATTTTAGGACAGAATAACCCTTATGCAAAATGGGAAGGTCAGTTAAGTAATTCTGAGAATAACTGGCGGGGGGTGGGAGGGGTGGGATGACCAAAGTTAGATTTCTGACCCCAGCAGACAAAAGCAGCGTTGAAGAAAAACAGCAAGTAGGTTTTAGTACTGGATTAATCTAGAGGCTTAATAGCACTGCGTTTGCCACGTCATATATCATATTCTGGGTATTGATGCTATCACTAGACTCTTAAACTGAAACAAGAATTCATTCACCTGACTCACAGCTTAAGATGTATGGATACAGGCATAGCGAAACAGGTAGAGAGCGACAGATGGAAAGGTGGGAGAAGACACTGTTTCCATCTGAGACTATTTTTTTGGTTGATGTTACTTTAATTAAAAATAAAAATAGCTGGGTAAAACAACTTAGTGAGCATAGCTTGTTAAGAAATAAAATGCCCATCAGTATTTTGCAGTTTGGCTTTCTCAGCAGGTAAGAAAATTTTAAGTTTTTAAGAGGATGTAAAAGCTAGCAGAAAGAAAAAGAGCCTACTGATTTTATTTTAGGAAAATTTATTTAATAGAAATTGTACATCCAAACAGAAAGGGTAAGCAGAGAAAAATTGCGAAATAATTAAAAACCAAAAGAGCCAAAGATTAGAAAATAACCTTAAGTAAGAGGAAGAGGTTGTTGAGACAGCTTAGCAGAGACAAAAGGCACTGAAGAACAGAATCATCCATATTCTCACACTGTAAGATAAGGCAGATAAAAAGCCAATTAATCTTTGCACTGTATTTTGAAAAACATATTTTAGGGAAGACTAACTGGTGGATTCAGCCACTGAACACAGCAAGCCATGCAATAAACAAGTAACTAAAAATGCATGTTATATGTAGCCATTTTTTAAAAAGAAACAACTCCTTAAATATTTACAAATTTTTCTGTGTGTCCTTTTTATTGGAGAGTGCAGAGTCCTCACGCTGGCCCAGCATAAATCCACTACTTAAGAATAAAGTCCACATCAGTGCCACGAGGAGTAAGCTGATAAATAAAGTTAAGTGGATGCATGACACCCTGCTTGAGAATTGCATGCGTTTGGGGGCAAGTCAAGAGCTGCCTCTAAAATAAAAATGCCTTCAGGGCCAGTGGTCAATATTTCTTAACATCTATACAAATAAGTGGCCTATGCTCACTTTTAGGACAATACCTAAGTCTGCTACCAGATCTTGTGCAAAGCACTATGAAACCCTGTATTTCTTTCAATAAAAATTAAATGTTCAGTCCACAATTCAAAAGTAGTAGCCAATATAATCTCAGTACTGTAAGAACAGAATTTGCAAGGGCCTGAAAAACTTCAATTCTAAATCAAAGTAAATTTGAGAAGGCAAAAGGTGAGAGTGAGCAACAGTTGATTCATGCAAAGCAACAATTAGCAAGAGGTTCACATATTAGTACATTAGCTATTGTTTTAAATGCATTTTTATTGCACTATTTACTCCAAGACTTTTGCTAGTTCTTATTTGACCCTGAAAGTTGGGAAAAGCTTTTTGGGAGCCTGGTAGAAGTGCTACCAATCTTTATGGCTGGATGAAGAAATAAAGATACTGCTTACCAGTGTAAGGCTAAGCATTTAGAGAATAGATGTACCTTAAGCTGACTGTTAAATGCATCCATTTCGGCAAGTTTAGAAGCAGTTTCTTTCTCGAGGGCATCTAGTTGTTCCTTAAGTCTTTGGCATAATTCTTCCTTTTCTAGGGACTTTTTGTGCACTGAACTGATTCCTGTACCTGCATAAGGAAAGACAAGCAACTTTACAAGAATTTGGAAAGACAAGCAATTTTACAAGGATTTCTGTTTTCACTATTTTATTATTTTCCTAATAGACACACAATCCCAACCTCTTTTCCTCACAAAATTTCCTTGATTCACCTTTCTATTCATACACAGCACAAAGTGGGCCCAACACCTGAGATGCACAGACATTACATGTAATATATACAGAATAATTTGCAAGTTTTTTTAATATAGGACCAATTCATAGCAAACTTCTCTAGACAGGGACTTCTGGTGTGATTTGATATAAAGACCAGCGAAAATTTTACATAAATGAACTCTCTTGAGTTTACCAAAGAAAGACAAGGTGTAATAGTATCTGTTGGCTGTACAGTCTGCATAAATAAAGTTTCAAGCAAAATCTGTGCTTTCTCACAAAAATGTGTTTGCCCCTTATTTAGAACACAAAGGAAATAATGAAATGCAGATGTAACAGTGCTAAGATGGCACTAACTGAAAAGTTATAAAAGCGAAGGTGTGATTAACACCTCTGTATCCTTCAGCCTTTTTTACAAGTGATGAAAAGCCAGCAAAGCAAACAGAAGAGGCAGGCAGGCACTTACTTGGAGTGTTTTCAAGTTCAGCATTTTTAATTCTTTCACTTAACAATTGCTTTTCAGGAACTAAGTAAGTTAGTTTATTCTGATACTCCTGTAGATATTGAAGAGAGCAAAACAGATTTTTAGTACTGTTTAGAAATCAGTAAGTAAAAATGAGTGTATTTTCAAACAACTTCAACTCATGTTAATGAAATGTGGATGCAAGTTATCATTACGGGGTATAAGAAAAAAAAATATTTCTATATTCTCAATATAAATACTATTGAAATTGAATGCTTTTTGACCCCAAAAAAATTAACACAGTTTGAAAAAAAAATTATCAGACATGCTAAAAGTGTAAATATTATCATGAGAACATTTAAGTTAACTGCTCCAAGACTAATATAAAACAATAACTTTCTGTGACACACAGGAACGTGAAAAGAAGTTTCCCTGATGTGCAAGAGTGTGACATAAAACTGTAATAGAGGATGATTTATGGTAGTCAACTGATTTGAAATAATTCATGTCTTGCTACTCAAAGAGAGAAAAAAAGAAAAAAGTGCAGCAAGATAATTCAGCCTAAAGATCAACTTGCTCAGCATACAGGAAAGCATCCCTCAAAAATTTGAGTCTGGAGCCATAAAAGAATTCACAATTAAAAAGAAGTCACTATTATTGGTTCACAAAATAGCAGCTGAGGCTTCGAAAACTGTCCTTGTTCAACTATCAGCTTGTTGTAGTACACGTAATTATTGCTTTAACCACACAAATAAAGCTAAAAACCCTGCAATGTTGACAGCCTTGCTTATTTCCTCTCTCCACCATAATCAAACTGATTCACTATTCCTCCATATGGGGATGTATTATCAACAGCATTATGGAAACACAGAATAGGAAGGAAAACTACAAGCTTAACAGAAAGTTACATACCTGAAGCTGTTGTTGCAGTTGCTTAACTTCCATGATTCCTTGGTCATATTTCTTATCTAAAGCCTCCAGCTCAGTTTTTCGAATTTGCTTTTTGCTTCGAATATCTTGCAATCTGCCCGAGATTTGCTGATGTTTGTCCGTCTAGAAAGAAATCAAAGGCATATTATACCATATATAGCAAAAAACACTTCTGCACTGAACCTGTGGGCAGTTTAGTTCATGATCGATTCTTTAAAACAACCCAAAATATCTGCTTTAGATATTCAAAATAGTGTGAAACTCCTAGTGGGTCATTAATGCAGATTCGAAGATATGCAGACTTTAAAATACTGTATTTCAAGATATGTCGTGAAATTTCTGTCTTACCAGGGCTTCTAATTCAAGATTAAGGCTCTTCTTTTTAGAGGTCAACTTGACAATTTCTTCTTGTTCCCTGTTACGTTGATTAAGAAGTTCTTGGCGACGGATTCTCTCCCATTCCAAACGTCGCTGGCGCTCAAGTTCTTGCTTTGCTGCCTGCAGAAAGTTACATTACCTTAAATTACAATGGAGCTGCAGAACTCAGAGACCATGACTGAATATAATATGCTCTATTTCTAAATAGCTTAAGAGCAACACAACATACTGTCTTCTGTAAAGTGCTCTAAAGGATCACTTCTGTTCTTTGATGTCTTAGATACTTCAGCATCAAAGAACAGAAGAAATGATCCTATAACCATGCTCCAAACTCTGGATGAAGAAAAGCTACATTGTTCAGAGAGAAAGTCAATTTAGCTTAGAACACTGCCCATAAGTGAGCACACTGACAGATATTACTCACAACCTCCTTTGAGTATTTCACAGAACTACACAAAATATGCAAGTCTTATGCATGCACTGAGACATCAATAGAAGCACATTTGTCTCAAGTTCAACTGTCAAAATATTATCAACTATGAATTCAGTACAGTCTTGTTTGGTATAGATTTTTGCATAAATCCAAGAAATCTGTCCAAGAAAATCTCATCTGTCCTATGAAGTATCTGAAAATCTTCAATCTATACCAACACTTGATTCATTTGTAACAGACACAATGTTTTCAGACAGAAACCATGTTCTGTCTCCAAGACAACCTGCCAATGGCCATGCAAGGGGACAGAACCAAATTCAAATCCTGAATGCTCTGCCAAGTGGATACTTAATGCATGTACATATTCCTTAAAGCATTAAAAAATAATTTCAAGAAAACAACCTCCCGCCTTTCTATTTCTTTCCTCCTTTCTTCTTCCCTTTGTCTTTCCAATTCTCGTTGTCTCTCCAGCTGCCTTTCCATTTCAAGTTGTTTTTTCCGTTCCTGTTCCTGACGTTCCCTCTCTCTTCGCTCTTGTTCTTCTCTTTCTTTCTGAGCCTTACGTTCAGCCTCTCTCTGCTGCTGCTCCAACAGGACCTGACGGCGTTTTTCCAGCTCCATATTTCCCCTCTCATAGTTGGCTTTCCTTTTGTCCTCAAATGTCACTAAAACAAGGAAAGGTAGTTATTTCTGTCCTGTGCAAAACACTGCTCTCAAACAAGTACCTCGGTTATGCCACTAAAGATAGATCCTTTCTTTTTGGCAAGCTCAGGTTGTTGGGTCAGGGATGATGTAAGCATCTTGCTTTCGTTAAAGTATTATTTTTCTTTCCAAAATACCTTTAGATTTTCCTAAGTCTATTCCAACTACAGAAAAATGTTGTAATTTAAAACTGACCACGAAATGACTTGAATTTTAGAGGAAGCATAAAAGAACAGCTTTTATAAGCTAGGAGAAGATTATCTTCTGTTAAAAGGG